ACCAAAATGACCAAAATGACCTTGACTTTCGTCTGAATCACGTGACCTTGACCTCCAGCTATCTTAGAAACCTCAAAAATCGATTCAGCACCCCAAAAATGTATAATTAAGACACCAAGATCATCAAAATGGGCTCATTAGTCACTGACATAATGACACTTAGTGTTTTAATTATTCGCACGGCAGCCATCTTGGAAATATGCAACTTAGGGCATCATGGGACTTTTTTTTTTCGCTGGCAACATCAAAATTCTTTAATCCCATGTCCTAGGGATTCTAAAAATTATCTTGGAATTTAGTTTTAGGGGGGGGGGGTGCATGGGAACCCATTTCTCCTGCCGTACTATAAAACCTACCTTGATAAATTGCTCGTTATACAGAAGAAATCTTTAAGATTGATTAATTAATGGTTCTAGTTTTAAAGATCACTCTACCCCGCTATTTGTTAAGTTCAACACATTATCTGTATATGATCTTTATAAATATAAATTGTGTGTTTTAATGTATAATTTTGAAGAAAAAAAACATACTGCCTTTGATTTAAATCGTTTTTGTTGTTGTAAAGAACACAGATATTCATCATTACGGCACAAGGTCGTCAAATAAGCTTCATCTTAATAAAGTTAGAACATCCCTACACCTCTCAACTGTACGACACCAGGGGCCCCTCCTTTGGAATAAAATTCGATCTCTCTGCCGAATGACCCCAATTGGAGCATGTGAATTGTATTATAAAAAAAACACTTCTCACTACGGTTAATGTCAATGGTGATTAAGAGCAAAATTATTACTTTATTGCCAAGTAAACTTATTAACAACACATTTAAAAACAAGGATAGTAAATTTACTTCAAGTAACTTGTTATTCTTTTTTTGTAAAGTTTCGCATGAGCCCATGAATTTAATGTAATAACATATTATTGATATATCCTACGATTAATCGTGAATTGTATAACTACATGTATTCTTTGTGAAGGGGGCAGACCTAGTACAAGCTTCGGCTTCTTGTCTGGCCTCCCCATTATTATTATTTCAAGTTCTGTTAAAATGTTTACCTTATGTACATTATTTAACTTAATTACCTTACAGTATGGAAATAACCTGAAACGTGAAACCTGGATGCGATGCAACTCGGTCCCAAACCAAGTCAGTTCGAGTCAACTCAATACCAAGTCAACTCAGTACCAGGTTAACTCGGTCTCAGGTCTACTCGGTCTCAAGTCAACTCGGTCCCATATCAACTTGCTGGGGAAAAATGCTCTATAGCAAGGCACTGGGAGCGAAAATCAAACTGCGTCATGTTAGAGGCCGTGCCATGTTAGGGTACATCAACAATACGCGTTAAAGTGGTTAATACGTCATACACCGCTAAGGCCACGCCTTGCCGAGGTTACGCGTTTCACACAAACCTGGTCTCTATGTAGCGATGCCCACAAAATACGTTAAGTAACGTATGTAGTTATTCATTTTATATTGCAACGGATAAAAACATGATGAAAAAGTGACCACCGTGCTATAAGGCCAGGTTTGTGTAGAACGCGTGACTTCAGCAAGGCGTGACACCAGTGGTGTATGACGCAATGATCCACTTTTAATGCGTATATTGTAGATGTACCCTAACATGGCACGGCCCCTACATTGCGCAATTTGATGTTTGCCCCTATAGTGCCCTGCTAGAGCATTTTCTCCCCATCAAGTTGATTTGGGACCGGCCTGGACCGAGTTGACATGGGACCGAGTTGTCTTGGTAATGAGTTGACTCGAAACCAACTCAGGCGTGACACCAGTGGTGTATGACGCAAGGATCCACTTTTAATGCGTATATTGTAGATGTACCCTAACATGGCACGGCCCCTACATGGCGCAATTTGATGTTTGCCCCTATAGTGCCCTGCTAGAACATTTTCTCCCCATCAAGTTGATTTGGGACCGGCCTGGACCGAGTTGACATGGGCCCGAGTTGTCTTGGTAATGAGTTGACTCGAAACCAACTCAGGCGTGACACCAGTGGTGTATGACGCAAGGATCCACTTTTAATGCGTTTATTGTAGATGTACCCTAACATGGCACGGCCCCTACATGGCGCAATTTGATGTTTGCCCCTATAGTGCCCTGCTAGAACATTTTCTCCCCATCAAGTTGATTTGGGACCGGCCTGGACCGAGTTGACATGGGCCCGAGTTGTCTTGGTAATGAGTTGACTCGAAACCAACTCAGTCGGGGTCAGCTCGGTCCCAATTCAACTCGGTCTCAGGTGCCAAAGAAAATATGTGGAGAAAATTTCGGCAATTTGATTCACAGAACGTGTCTTTTTGTGTATGTATTTTCCGTTAACCTTTTGATGTACTTATTTGGTTTAATCATTGATTTCGAGGTTGTCCCGATTGTACCGCTCGTACTTGAAGCAGCGTGTTTCCCCGCCAGCGGCTGCCTAGCAAGTCGCTCGTTGCCCGCTGTTCTAGCGCCACATACACAGTCGCGCGCGCAGTATACGCGTAGTACCGTGCGATATATGGCCATCGTGACTAGCGTTGTGAATACCTAAATTCTCCGTTATTTTTTAAGAATCATCGACCGGAAATATAGTTTAGACTAATTAAGACCTGAGGTTTTATCACATTTGAGGGTAATTTTCGAAAGCTTTAGTGGCGCAAATTAAAATAAATCAGACCCCAAATACACAATATACATGTTTTCTATAGCGATTGCGGTGCGGCGACCCCCACTCAATCCCACAATGCACTGCGGTAAACATTGCGTGACGTAATTAGTACAGAGGGTTATTGATTGCACACCTGTGAAGGGGTGCAAGCTATTAGACTGATTCTCTGACCTTACAATTCCCCAAAGTGGGGTCAGGGAACCAGACTACAAGAACAGGAATGGTTTTCTTGGTTTTTCCAGCATAAGTGTTGTAGTCGAGTACTTTTTTCCGAGTACCGAGTACTGCCGAGTACTTAGGTTGCCGAGTACGAGTACGAGTACCTCCGAGTACAAGAACATCCAATTACGAGTACGAGTACGAGTACTTGTATTTTCGAATACGGCCAAACGGCACATCAGTGGTTCATGCGTAATTGCGGCCCAGGCCCAGTCAGACCGATATACAGACCCACACACGGCTAGCTGTTTAATGTGTTTGTCCGGACGTGCACATAGGAAAATCGGGAAACTTTGATTTCTCCACAAGCCAATCAACCATTTCAAACTGAAAGTATCGATAAAATATAATGAGTACTTTGCTGCCCGAGTACGAGTACCGTCATTTCGAGTACGAGTGCTTTGACATTCGAGTACGAGTACGTGTACTTCAAAAAAAGTACTCGAGTAGTACTTGAGTACGAGTACCGAGTACGAGCGAAATTCATGTCGTCAACAATGGTGGACGCGCTTCGAATGTATTGTTGAAGTCACGAATTTCGCTTCGCTTTCGCTTTCGCGTGAAGAATGAACCGGGCTTACTACAACACTGCTTACACAAGCCCAAAAACGTGAAACAAGTCATTTTAACAATATTTGCTATAACATCCTAAACCTCCAAAAAAAAAATAGGAGGGCGAAAGCAAATGTTGTACATTCCCTTTAAAGCCCGGTTCATACTCGGCGCGAAAGCGAACGCGAATTTGTGATGTTATGGCAATTAAGTATTCGCGCTTCGAATTCGTAAAAGTTGAACATATTTCAACTCGGGCGAATTTCGCAGCGAATCTTTCATGACGGCAAATTCGCTTCGCATTCAGCATTCGCGTGGAGTTTGAACCGGGCTTAAGGTCGGTTCATCATATAGTTTCGGCGCGAGAGTGAACGCAAACTCGAAGTTGTGACATCTGGGCAAGTTTTTGTCCTGCGAATTCGCAAAAGTTGAACACAATATTCAACTCCAGCGAATTTCGCTGCGAATGCTTCGTGACGTTAATTTCGCATCGGCACTCGTATTAAGTATGAACCATCCTTTACATGTTTTACATTATCAAAACGCTTCAAAGAATTAAGTTGTGGCCTTGTCAGGTTATCCGTTCTTAGGCCTTATTATCATGAATTCGTGTTTATATTTTTAGTTAGTTATCACTCTTTTGTTCTCAATGTTACTTGATCCTGTATAACATTAATCCTCCTGAATGTATTACTGATCCTTGTAGACGCATACCCACACTAGCACGTGTGTAGTTGCCTGCAATCGGGGACCGTCCTATTGTCCCTCTTTTGTGTGTATCAACTGGTTTTTTTTAGGAAGACCTCCCATATGTTTTGTACATACACGAATCCAAATTGGGGACCTCTTGGGAATTGGGGACCCTATTGTCCTCCATTGTTCAACGTCCCAGTGGCGCACTCGGGCCGTGGGGGGCCTCTGGGGGCTTGAGCCTCTTCCTCAATGGGTTGTCACTTTTTATTTTTCACGCTGGCGCCGTGCAAGCGTGTAAGGTTGTGATGCAAGATGGTTTCCTATCCTAGGGCTGTCTTAAATTGGGATGACGATGTTTGATGGATAAGTTCATCAGGGAGCTTGTTGCAGTCTTCAATCGTCTTTGGGAAAAAAATTGTGGTACGCTTGCGTGCGGCATTGCAAGGAAGCGTATAAAATGCCCCTTGTTCTCGTTGAAAAGCGTTATAATGAAGAGAAATTTGTAAAACTCATCTGCTTTGTAAATTTTCAACTCCTGTTAGTTGCTCAGGCTCCGTTTCGAATGCAAGAAGGGTCGATCGAAATGCATATTATTCGACGCTCAAAATTTGTCATGGTCCACAATGAAAAAGAAATACGAGCGAAAATAAGCGCGCGTAAAAACCTAGAGGTTTGTGATTAGCCGCACGTGTTCGAAACTAGCAAAAGACGTGCAACAGCAAAAAAAAACCCACCACCCAAAAACCCCCCAAAACCCCACACACACTCCATCAAGCTCCGCCCTTTGAGTCTCAGAATCTCAGAATCTCAGAAAGTTGACTGGATATCGCCGCTGGGCATCATCATCCAGGTTGACTTCACGCGGTGCCGTGCAAGCGTGGAACGCCCTCTTGAGGCGAGCTGCAGCAACCGAATCGTTCATCCGGGACATATACTGTACTTGCACGAGTAAAAAAATGGCGATAAGTTGAATTGCATGTAAGTGTTTCTTTCTTCTATTTTCGTAATTTTTGGCATGGTTTCAAGTGGCTGATCAATTTAAAGTATTCCATTAGAAGATACGACCCCAAAAGTTTACAGAACTAACACCTTTGAATTATACCCTTGCATAGAAGTTTTGCATTGTCTTGCTTTTTGAAGTCATTGATTTGAACAGTAGAGGAGCTAGAGGGTTATTTGCGACGACGATGACCATGACTCAACAGTCAGTCATGTCAGTAGCCCGGCGGTCGTGTAGTCCTAGCCCGACTGCATCTGGCCGTACAGTACAGAGTACTATCGCAAGCTCTGTAGTACGGCCAGACCGCCAATGCTCCCCTAAACGCTAAACTGTGTAATGTAGCGATTTTGCTACCAATTTTGATCGAGATTATCTTCTCATCTACATGATCTAGTCCGAGTAACTTGGACCCAACTTATCGCCTTTTTTAACATTTGGACATGGTCTGGCGATAGTGGGGTCCAAGCTAATATCGCGAGCTGGACAACACCGTCCCAAAAACCAACATACTCCAACAAAAAACATCGGATTTCACCTTCAAAACGGCCTCCAAATTACTAGATATGCCACCTGAGGTACAAGTAGACATCGATGATTAAGATGGTTGTACTGAAGTTTACTTACGATCCGGAAAAAGTGAAATTTTCCGTTCATTTCGGAGAGCTCCCCTTGAACACGTTAAATTTCCGATCGTGTTTAATGTTTGAACGACGCAATTTCTTCTTCATGCCCAGCGTACATTCGATGGTCCCCGTATCCCGAGTGCGATTCCGTTACCGAGCGCGCGCGATGCATCGATTATGATAATGAGTCACGTTTGTAAACACACATACTGTACATGTGCATTTCGAACTGTAAAAGGGAATTGGGAACCAGCTTGAACTGGTATCCGCCATAAAAGCTGCGCTAGTTCCCGACTCCCTATTATCGTTTGAAATGCATATGTGTTTACAAACGAGATCCAGTCTACTCATTATCATAATCGATGCATCGCGCGCGCTCGGTAACGGAATCGCACTCAGGGTACGGGGACCATCGAATGTACGCTGGGCATGAAGAAGAAATCGCGTCGTTCAAACATTAAACACGATCGGAAATTTAACGTGTTCAAGATCGCGAGGGGAGCTCTCCGAATTGAACGGAAATTTTCACTTTTTTCCGGATCGTAGGTAAACTTCAGTACAACCATCTTAATCATCGATGTCTACTTGTACCGCAGGTGGCATATCTAGTAATTTGGAGGCCGTTTTGAAGGTGAAATATGATGTTTTTTGTTGGAAAATGTTGGTTTTTGGGACGGTGTTGTCCAGCTCGCGGTATTAGCTTGGACCCTACTATCGCCAGACCATGTCCAAATGTTAAAAAAGGCGATAAGTTGGGTCCAAGTTACTCGGACTACTTCTCATCCAGGACTGAAATTTCCTAGCCCCACTAGTGTGGCCGCGGTATGCTGCGCTGAACCTCTGGCCACACACTGTGGTACCGCGCACTACTGAGGGCGTTTTCATAAAATTTACAGGCATTTTCTTACATATGGTTGTATTCTATGATGTCCCATCTATCACTTCCGGGATGCTTAGGTGTAATGATGTTCAATTTTCCGAGATATTCTTGAATCTTTCTGGAGCCCATATGCACTCCTGAAACGTCTGGTGATGGCAGCCATTTTGAATGTGACAAGAGATAACCTCAAGCTGTGACGTCGCGTTTATGCAAATTGCTTGTTGAGCGAGGGCGCGAGTTGCAAATGCGACGGCTGTTTCCTGTGTCGCGCGCGTCGTCCAAGCCGTCGACATCGATGCCCGCGCAGCGCATGCGCAGGGTATTATTTTCATTTTTAATTGGAACAGGAAACAGCCGTCGCATTTGCAACTCGCGCCCTCGCTCGACAAGCAATTTGCATAAATGCGACGTCACAGCTTGAGGTCATCTCTTGTCACTTTCAAAATGGCTGCCATCACCAGACGTTTCACGAGTGCACATGGGCTCCAGAAGATTCAAGAATATCTCGGAAAATTGAACATCATTACACCTAAGCTTGCCAGAAGTGATAGCTGGGACATCATAGAATACAACCATATGTAAGAACCTGCCTGTAAATTTTATGAAAACGCCCTCAGTAGTGCGCGGTACCACGGTGTGTGGCCAGAGGTTCAGCGCAGCATACCGCGGCCACACTAGTGGGGCTAGAAATTTCCTAGCTCTACTGAGCATGCTGAGTGGAGCGTTGAATGACGGGTACCCCTCCATACAAACGCTCCACCGATTTGCCATACTTCAGTGACGGCGTCACAGTAGCATAGTGTACATACCACACGAGGACAAAAAGACCCCCCAAAAAACGGTAAAGAGAATACAAATGAGAGAGACAGTTACCCTGGATTGATCTACACATTCATGACATTCATGATCGAAGAAAAACAAGTCGCACGTGCTCCTTGGGTGTGTTCAAAGCCTATACTGTTGTACGGCGCGGATCGGAGCACGTATCATTACACGAAACAGTCAGTGATAAAGCGCGACTTGTTTTTCTTCGATCATGCAACGCCGGTGACGTCACGTCAGACGCCCTCATTCGGCAAGTCGGGGCAAAGACTGAGCCTCACGGCAAACACATTGAGCTGTAAGTTTTCAGACTATTTTGCTGGTTTTTTCCAAAAGTTTCGCTGTTTGGGAACAATATGAGGGGTCTGATGGAATGTCATGAATGTGTAGATCAATCCAGGGTAACTGTCTCTCTCATTTGTATTCTCTTTACCGTTTTTTGGGGGGTCTTTTTGTCCTCGCATGGGTATGTACACTATGCTACTGTGACGCCGTCACCAAAGTATGGCAAATCGGTGGAGCGTTTGTATGGAGGTGTACCCGTAATTCAACACTCCACTCAGTAGAGCTAGAAATTTCCAAAGTTAAGGTTCCTAGTTGTTCCTGGTCGTACTCGTAGACATGGTAGAGGCACTATTATAGTCATACCTTTTCGAAAAAACGTTCTTTTATCTAAAAATGTTCATCCATCTGGCCAAAAGACGACTTTCAGTCATCATCTCCCACAAATATCGTCCCAAAAATGTTCCACTTCCTCCATGCGATTTCAAAATGGTGGCCGTGTTGTAATGTATGCATTATGCGGGCGCGCTTGAGCAAGATTATGAATATGCATTGATCAGTTCATGACCTCGTGTTTTGTTTGGCCAGCCGCCCCGCACGCCTGACAGACGTCATGAAATGAATGCATATTCATAATATTGCCCAAGCGCGCCTGCATAATGCATACATTAACAACGCGGCCGCCATTTTGAAATCGCGTGGAGGAACATTTTCGGGACGAAATTTGTGGGAGATGATGACTGAAAGTCGTCTTTTGGCCAGATGGATGAACATTTTTAGATAAAAGAACGTTTTTATGAAAAGGTAAGAATTCCTCTACGACTAGGAACCTTAACTTTGGAAATTTCTGTCTTGGATGAGAAGATAATCTCGATCCAAATCGGTAGCAAAATCGCTACATCACAGTTTAGCATTTAGGGAAGCATTGGCACTCTGGCCGTACTACAGAGCTTGCGATAGTACTGTACGGCCAGATGGAGTCGGGCTAGTGTAGGCCTAGACCCACTAACTGCGGCGCTAGAAGTTAGAACTCCTTTTTTGACATTTGTGTGGTCTGTCGCACAAGCGCCCCACAACGCATAAATCCTCATTTCGGAGAGTGCATTTTTCCAGACCATTCCAATCAAAAGTTGCCAAAAATCATGAAAATCACTCACAATACCTTTCAATTAAACCCGTGAACGTGGCTTGTAAACTACGCCACGCTCTTGTACCATTTCGAACCAAGCGAAATCGTCCTTCCGTGACAAAAACTGAACATTGCTTTACCGTGTGATAAGTACTCACATACATGTATCATACTGTATCAAGCTTTCTTGAACATGTTGAAATCTGCTTTTACGCCAAATCTGGCATTTAAACGAAATTCGAGGTAAAATCTGGCAAGATCTCGACGTCCTGCAACCTCCTCCTGATGCATGTGCTTTACCACGTGATAAATGCTGCGGATAATTTGGTATCGCACTGACGCTCTGGGCACTCGTTATGTCTGGATCATAAGTGCGATTCCAAATTATTAGCTGCGTTTATCACGTGGTCTCTTGATTGGCCAATCTGACGCCGCCCGATCATATGCGCCACAAGAAGCAGACGGTTAGCTCGGAGGGCTCCAATAATTTGGTACGTGACCCTGGGTACTTGTCCAGTAAACGTTAAAATCTAATTTCTACATGTTCGTATGGGTCTTCATGACGGCAAAGTTTGTTGAAATGACACATCCTGAACATGCAGGAAGGCAAATTTAGATTTCTAGGTGAGTACTCAACATGCATACAAAATTATGTATGGCGGATCGATTTTGCCAGGTTCGAAATGACACAACAGCATGGCGTTGTATACAACGCCACGTTCACAGGTCTACCTTTCAACATGTTCAAAGTAGCCTAGCTCTACTGAGTGGAGCGCTGGAACTTTGGTACCCTCTGTACAAGCGCTCCACCGAATCGGCATACTTTGACTACACATTTAAATCACTGACAGTGACACACGGTATGCTTGTACATAGGCCTACCCTTGGGGAGAAAAGGCCCAAAAAACTGGTAAAGAGAATACAAATGACAAAAATAGTTACCCCGGACAGACCCACATATTCATGACATGCCATAAAACCCCTTAAATTGTTCCCAACAATTGGTAATTTTGGAAAAACAAAAAATTCTGATAAACTTACCGCTCACAATTAAATGTGTCTACCGAGTTGTGCCATCCATTTCTTGGCTATAGCGCGTTTGTGACGTCATTATCGAAGAAAAACTAGTTGCGCTTAATCAACGACTGTTGCGTGAAGTGTATGGTGCCCCACGCCGTATGACAGTATGGGCTTTTGGCGCGGAGCACATATCACTACACGCAACAGTCGTTAATTCAGCGCAACTTGTTTTTTCTTCAATAGTGACGTCACACACGCGTTCGACGATCTAGCCAAGAAATGGATGGCACAACTCGGTAGACATTTAATTGTGAGCAGTAAGTTTATCAAAATATATTGTGCTTTTTTCAAAATTACCGCTTGTTGGGAACAATGTCATGAATGTGTGGATCTGTTTTGGGTAACTGTTTTTCTCATTTGTATTCTCTTTACAAGTTTTTTGGAGCCTTTTCTCCCCAAAGGTATGCACAAAAATGCATACCGTGTGTCAGTGATTTAAATGTGTAGTCATAGTATGCCGACTCGGTGGAGCGCTTGTACGAAGGGTACCGAAGTTCCAGCGCTCCACTCAGTAGAGCTATTTTCAAAGTAGCCCAAGTAACTAGGACTCTACGAATCGCCTTTTTTAACATTTGGTAATAGTCGGGCAATAGGCTGCCATTTTGAATTCAGGAAAAGTAGACTGGTGCATGGCTGGCTAGACTGTTTCCTGGCAAGCATCAGACAGACCAATCACAGGGCACTTTGATTTGTCACCTGACCAATCACAGGGCACTTTGATTGGTCACCAATCCAGGTGACCAATCAAAGTGCCCTGTGATTGGTCTGTCTGATGCTTTTCCTGAATTCAAAATGGCAGCCTCAAACAAGGTGTTTGTACAAGGATGTTTCCCGAATTGAAGGTGAAATTTCTCTTTTCTTCCAAAAGGTATGTAAACCTAACCACCACCATTTGTATTTCCAATTCCCACTGAAGCCTACAGGGTCGCATAAGGCAGTTTGAAGACTGTTTTGGGGGTGAAATCTGAAGATTTTGATTGGGGGCTAGTACTAGCAACACATTCTCTATGGACTATTTTCAGTAAACACGTCGCCCACGGACATATTAACCAAATACCAAACCTGGGGCACATGTTGGCATAATTCTGGACACAAGGAATACATATGTGAGCAAAATTTCAGCACCGCCATCACGTTAAAATATGAAACAAAAACGTATTATAATTTGTTTCAGTAGACCCGATGGTTGTTGGATGTCCTACTCAGCATAAATAACCATTTTTGGGAACCTCGAGTAGAAATGAAAGCAGTGAAATAGAGCTTCATAAAACCATTTATTACAAATTTAATCCAGTCTGCTATGATGAATAATTTAGAATTCGTGATTGAACACAACTTTATGTTTTAAGCCACATAAAAAAATGAAAGTGAGGCCAGCTGGCACCATCTCATTTAACAATGAACAATTTACAAAATAGATTCAAGGATCAAAAATGGCTTCACCCTGAATAAGGTCTATACTCGACGTGACAGATTTGTAATATACTCATTATGACGGATTTGTAACGTTTAAATGTTCAAATGTGCGGTTATGTATACATGTACCGGTAAAGTTACCAAAAGCTGTATTTTTCACTCCCCACACAGAATTTCTTCATGGTTGATTCCTGATGAACTGCATTCATCATGAAAGTTGACCGGAGTAAACTCAAAAAGAGTGCTTCAGAAGTGGTAACAATTGACCTCTCTTTGTTTCAATCCTCAACTCCTTGGCGGATTTTGGTGAAGTACATGTACATGTAGCAAGAAGGGTTATAATTAATGTGTACACAAGTATGTAAGGTGTAAAACAGTATTGACTCTCCCAGTGGCAAGTCTACTTTTCAGAAAAATGTAAAACACTTTAAAGCTATAGTCCATCATTTGCAGCTATCCAAAAAGTGACCGATGTAATTATTGTTGAAAAACATACTTGGTTGAAAGATAGTAAGGGAACTAAACTCCCTGTGAAATTATTCTTTCTGGCATGCTGTCATTTTGAAGAAATCAACGAAAGTAGTTCGTTAGTAGTTCGTTTTTTTTTTATACGGCGAAGAACGCGCAAGCATTGAAACGATGCACACACACGCGCGCCTTCTATAATTCGTCGGATTAGTGCGCGACATCGCGTAGCTGCATCCGGCTCAGTGCGAACGTGTCTCGGACGCTGAATTCAGGCCCAATTCAAAACATGATTCAGCAACTTTTTTATTTGAAATCGAGATCTTAGAATGTTGTTTTTCTCAAAAAATACAGCTGCAGCTTAGCTGAAATTTCATCAGCTTAGTTTTTATCACCCTTCTTTAGATTTGAGAATGTTTGTTGCTTCGAACGAACAAAATGCAAAAATTACAAATGATGGACTATACCTTTAAGTTAGTTTCAGGTGACATGAAGGGATATAAAGTGAGCACTGAGCAGAATCTGCCTGCATGCCCTGAGCTTAATCACACACAAGAATTGTGCAGTGTAATCCATACTCCACATAAGATTATCTGGAAGGAATTTGAAGTGCGGGTGCTATTAAACTGTATTGGTTTTGCAAAACTTTGAGGGTTGTGAAGTGCAGAAGAGTAGTCTAGAAAGGTTAACCTGTAAGTTAGTGTAACAACTAAATCAATCAAAGTCAGGGTTGTTCTGGAAATGAAGTTAATTTGAAGGAAGTTGGCTCATTCATTTTAGGTGTTTTTTTTTGACAAAATGACAAAATGGCTGTCCACAACAGTTGACCCCTTGTGCGTGAAATTGTCTTTTGTCAAATTTATCAATAGGGCAAAAAAAAAATGGTTCTGCTTCCGATTACATTCGCTTGTACCCCCCTGCCCTGCACACAGGGCTCTGGGACACGCTGATAAGCTTCAGAATCTTGTGAAGGAAGTGGGTATGGCATTCTTGGTAATTTGTCATGACCTATGTATAAAGACATCTGGCTTCAGCTGTTTAAACCGCAGTTAGCCAATGCGCGCAAGTGTTATCCGAAAACTTTTTCATACAAATGTACACATTCCATACTGGATGGGAATAAAAGAGTGATGTTTAAAACTTTGCAAGGTCGTGCATGGCAGTGATGACTTGCAGGTCACGCAAAATCTATCCAATCAGAGCGTAAATTCATCAGCCTGTCCCAGTGTTCTGTTTGCAGGGCGGGGGGTACGAGCAAACCGATTACATGGCATTTTAAAATAGGGTGGGTAGGTAGGGGCATTTTTTTTGTTTGGCAATTTTTTTGTGTTCAATTATTTGAAGGTGTCGGTGTGTAGTCATGGTAAAAGGTTGTAATTGATGATTTTAGATTTGTTTTACCTCATTTTTTTCCAAAAACAAACTAGGTTAGGGGAAAAATTGGGTAGACGGGTAACAAGAAGCAGATTTTTTTTGTGGCCTAGTCAAAACACTAAGTTTTGGATCTTGTACCACATTGTAGCATTCTTTTAACCATAAAGTTTTTCTATAAAGATTTTGCATGCTCCTTTTATATTTTCAGCCTGGTGATTGTAAGATTCTTATTGAGAAGCTCAAGTCATGCCCTGATCTGAGTGCTGAACTTGTGTACATCAACACATGGAACCATGGCAAGGTACTAGTCCTGGCGTTAAACACTGTGGCCGATCTTGCCTTGATTCCCTGTTATACCTGTCGGAACTGCGGAGATTGTTAGAGCGATCTAGGGCCCGAGAAACATGCATTTTTTTTTGGAAGCAATTTGCCACCATTTTGTAATTGATTATTAATCTCTTGGGTTCATGCAGTAATTAGGACACAATAATAGACAAAGGACGGTTTATTTCTGTGCAGGGACAATCAATCTATTTCCTTTTTTTGTTCACTCTCATTAAATACCTTTACAATATACAGGACTTCTTTTGGCTCTTATGCAACTAGTGTAATTGGTAAACAGCAAACGTCAACCACAAATGTAACCCACAAGTGTCAACCACAGATGTAACCCACAAATGTAATCATCAAATGTCATCCGCAAACGTCATCCACAGATGTCATCCACAGATGTCACTCACGTGTGTCATCCTCAAATTCCATCCGCGGATGTAACCCATAGATGTCACCCACATATATGAACAACTAAGGATCACTTATTATAATAAACTTGCTGGAAATCGGACCGGAGTGATACAAGTTAGAGTTCTGTTTTTCACTGTCTGTCTGAACTCTGTCTTGAGGGTGCCTTTTGTACAGACGTAAACGCTCGACCTGTATCCTTTCAGCCCTGAATTCTGTGACCCATTCAGCACTAAATAAACAATATGTTTGTTTACAAGTATGGCACTGGCTCTGCTCCCACACTGCAAGCCTAAAAATTACACTGACCCACCAAAGCACAAAGCAACATGAGTTAACCTCAAATTATCCTTACAGCAATATAAGCAATCGTTTGTTGACAATGGATGACAATAAGTAACTTTACCAGTAATAATACCTTTCTCCCAATCAGCAGGCCTCCGTTCTTCTCCAGTTCTAGCTAGCGAAATTTAGCGTGTCGATCGCTCAGCCTTCAGTGTTCAAAGTATGCAACACACAATGAAGAATCTTAAACACACAATCTACCCGTACCAGTCTAGAGCCCAGCACATGACTTAAGCTGTTACCCTATTGGCTAAAACTGATGACGTAACCAAGTGGGTCATGTACATTTACACTCTTATACACAGTGTATTATAATGAAGAATAGACTTGTATACCAGTCCTTGTTATTCGTGACAATACACACTTCCACATCATTGAGGTCATACAAGCTATTAACATCTGGAGTCCAATCCATTCGAAACCCCAGCAAATAGGGATTTTGCTTAGTTTAAGTCACAATTTTCGATGCAGTTTTCTCCTTTCAGAGTAAATTTTACAGAATTTGTACACAATGTACCAAAGGTATACAATTTTACGTACTCCAAGTCAAAATCATGTTGCTTTGAATGAGATGATCTCACCAGGCACACATTTTTACAGCAAAGTTGTGGCGTCATTGTCCATTATCAAACATGCAGTATGCTTTACTATAGTTCTTGATTGAACTTGCTCTTTTCTTGCATCACACTAGCAAATGTTGACTACCCCCCCCCCATTATTTCCTTTTTAATCCTGTCCTTTAGTGTGAATTGTTCCACTGGGTTGATGTCTTGGACCGTTTTGACTCAGTCTTGGAGGAAGGCTGTAAGACGACAGCTGATCACTCATGGCACCTTGCCCTGGATCTCCCTGGTAATGTTCAGCTCAAACAGCTTGTCCATAGCATTCTCAACTTCACAGCACTACTCATTGAGCACAGCTTCTCAAGACATCTCTACAATTCCATTGAAGTAAGTGATACTAGGCATATCAGGTGATTTTTTAATAACCCACACAGAGCAGTAGCCTTGGTCAAGGCGCTAGTTGTTTTTTATCCGGCCATAGCGCAGTAATGCATGCAGTCATAAGGTCTATGCGCTATGCATGCAGTACAGTGCATCAAAAATACAGCGGGAACAGCGACCTCACGCGGCCACTATTTTTATGCAAATCAGTTGGACCCAATATAGCGCCTTGGTTCAATCGTCCATGTGAGGTTTTGGGGGTGGTGCTCATTATGTTAATAGCCTTAGCTGACTTTAAATGTCGTTTTCTTATTGGTCGATCGTTGCGGGGAAACTTGCTTAGTAAAACGTGGCACCGTACATAATCCATACATGTAAACGTACACGTTATGTGTCTCTGCACACGGCACCAATGCACAAAAACTGTGGTGTCTGTCACGTCCGCAAAAGGCGAATAGCTAGCTGCAAACAATTTGATGACGTCCGGATTTACCAACGTGTGATTGGACACTCCACATATTAGCCCCGCCTACACTTATCTGTATTCGCATACGAGGTCGTGCGCTAGAAATCCAGCGCAAAATAAAGAAAAACATAAACTTTTGCCGACTATTGAACCAAGGCGCGATATTGGGTCCAACTAATTTGCATAGAAATGGTGGCCGCATGAGGTCGCTGTTCGCGCTGTATTTTTAATGCACTGCATAATACATGACCCTAGCGAGGATATCGTTTACGCGCCACGGCCGGAATGAATAACATTTAGCGCCTTGACCAAGGCTAACAGAGCAGCAAAACCTGGCCATCTGGAAAGAGCTTGTCGTCAGCAGTCACCCAGTGTTTTTTTTTTTTTGAAATCGGTCAAGTGGTTCTCGAGATATGTTAATTTTAATACCACGAAATTGGAGAAAAATTTGATATAAAGGTCAAAGGTTATCCTTTGTTTTTCTTTATATGGACAATGGCACCGAAGAGAATGGAAGCACCATGGCATTTTCAATCATAACTTTCTAACGGTTTATTTACTGTCATTCAAATTTGGCACATGGATAAAGACTTTCGATCTCAAACATTTCATATCAAAAAATTAGTTATTAATAACTAATTTGCATAATTAATTGACAAAATAATGCAAATTTGTTATGATTTTCAAGCATTCTTGGGATTGTAAGTGATTGTTAAGTCTCCTTTAAAAGTTTAACACAACCCCCCCATCAAACTTTGATTCAAACAATTTAAATGCAATACTAATTTGCATAATAGAAATTAAGTAATTATCCCGAAAGAGATAATATTCCCTGATGTGGATGATCCAAGTAAAATAACTTTTTTATGTTATTGCAATTCTTCATTCTATGTGCACATGATACTGAAGATTTGGCTTATTGCAATTGCAGTATTGCTAAAGTATTTGCGTAAATAACAAAAATATCAAGTTACATAATTAATACAAGTACTATTTTCCAATTGACGTGGCTGTGTATAAATCAGGTAAAATTATTCAATGTTAATGGCAATTTCTGTTGTGCAACAGTTATTACAAAACATCTAAATGTACAGTATTGATTTGTGATTTGATGTGTTGCTTATTAATTAGCATATTAATTAAAAAGCAGGGGGTCCACATGCTATGTACGTAACACATGCTGTGCCTACAAACATGCAACAAACGAAATGTACAGATGAACAATCTGATTTGATCCTAATTCTTCTGTTTAAAAACTAAGTAAGTAATTTAAACAAAATGTTGAATGTTGATCCCTGTGAGCTCAATTAAGTTATAAGTTGCCACACTAAAACCTGAAACTACCGGTACTGTATCATATACATGCACATGTATATTGAAAAAATTATAAATTTTTCTTATTTGCATATGTCCCAAAACCTCACAATATATTTTGCTAATTTTGAAAAAGTTTTTAGAAAACTAAAGAGGTTGCAAATTGAAATTGCACTTTTTTTTCTTTTTAAGACTGTTAAAATTATGCTTAAGTAACAGGTAAATAAATTCTAAACCAGTCATTGTTAGTTTGGTTGTGGCGTAACTCCCAAGTTCATTCAAAGACAAGTTCATTCTTGATCGTATTGCATGGCTTGACCTGCCTGACTAAGGAAAGTGTGGTCCATTTCATTTGCAAAGTTCTTGCGAGAGATCGATCCCGGCTTCCTGCGCATACAGCTATACAGTCAAATCTTGGCAGAAGCTGAGAAGACAAAAAAAACAAAAACAGATACAATGTAAAGGTAACATCTACCATTTGATGCTGAACTGTTTTAAGCAAATAACATTTACATTTACAGGCCAAAAATTCAAAAAAAAAAATATTTTTTTCCTGATTCAATTTTATCACGAAATAAGTGCAGTTTTTTTCTTGCGTAAAAACGCATCTTAAACGATTTATTTACCATTCCAAATCCTAACATATGTATCCCAGATCTCTTAACTCTCAACTTAAAAATGCCATTTTGGCCTTTGATTTGTTGAAAAAGTAACCAAAAAACAATGGAAAGATCGCAATCCAGACACACAAACCCCACAAAACCAGCAGTACAAAACAACACGTGTTGGTACTTGTCGGGAACCTGAACTCCAACTGCACTACGTACGTGGACCATGCATTGATACAGAATCGTGGTACCAACCTTCTCTTTGCCAACTGCTACTTTGGCGTTCTGCAGTGGGAAAGTGGTCTTGCAAAAATGCCAAATGGGAAGTTGTTTTACATCCAAAATCAACAAAACCTTCATCATGTTCATAGTATTAAAGAAATATAACTAAAGTAATTACTGAAGATGTTCATTGTGAAATAAAGGTCAACCAACTTCAAGGAAAATCCAAAGGCTGAAATGGTCGCTCTTTCATAACTTTGGAACCACTGGACTGATTTTCACTAAACACACGCTGAAAGTAATTGGACTCTTCTTCTGGAAAATACCAAAGAGGACCCGAGGGTGGATCTAAACTCTTCCCAATTGGTCAATAACGACACGAGGTGAAGCCGACTGAGACCGAACGCAGCCCGAAAACTGGGGGCCACACAAGGCCAAGCTGGATTCTGTGTGGCCTGTTCGGCCATGACAATGCGTTGCATTTATGATCATATCTTAATAGATACTTGCTGTTTTGCGGTGATTTTTCGGTGGTAGTCTCTTGAGATATCCACTATTATGTATGGGAAATTTTGTGATCGTTGTATAAATGAAACAGGAGTTATGATTTAATAAGTTTTTTCTCCCACATCGGACCGTGTGTGCAGCGCTGCATGCGTGCAAAATCAACTGGTTTCGTGACGTCACTGAAATGCCTAGTGATACCATTGAGATGGTTAGTTCAGTTACGAGTCGTTCCGTGGAAGCTAGTAGTTTGGCCACATGTGACCCAACCCAAGAAAATGAGTCTGGGGTTGCGAGAACCACTAATGATTTCAAGTCCTTAAATAAATCATACACAAGTTGAAATCGATAGGCACGACCATCATTTTCAGCCACATTATGTCCAAATTCATCAGGGTGTCAAAGTATGTGATATCAAAATGAAGAGTACTTTTTTTTTAAATGCGTACAAAACTAATAATGTAAACAAACTTCTCAAGACCATTTTGTGGAATCTGGTCTCAATTTTATTTATGCACAAAGCATTTGAAGAGTGCTTAAGAATTTTTAGGGTCCTGCATGCACCCCACAGTGCTTTGCACAATAAAGATATCAATCAAGATGGCAAGACTGTTGAATGACATCATGTACTTGGATGTAAGCAATTACGGTGTACCTTTTCAGGTTTCTGTTACTAAAAACATTAAGCATCATTGAGAATTTATAAAGTGGGTAGGAAGAGGTCCTTATTCTGCGCTTGTTTATTCACACATTATTTTAACCCAAGCCTAGCTGCTACTTCAAATTGATAAAGTGGAAGAATTTATAAATTCTCTTGTACAATTGTTTTGTACTATTGTACTCTTGTACTATTGTTTCAGCATCTGACAACATTGCTGTCATCCTCGGATCTCAACACTGTTCTTGCTGTTCTCAACTTGGTCTATGTATTCAGGTAAGTAGAATCCAGTTTCACACATTTTTGTTGTAGGGCCAATGATTTTCCGCGATCGCGGAAAACGGACGGAATTCACAGAATCTGCTCCTCGAAACAGAAAACGGAATTTGAATCTGAACAAAATAACTTCTGCAATTTTATTCATAAAAAAAACATAATTTCGTAAAATTTATCGAATACAAAACGAATTGTTGATGATTGATTGAACAGACGAGCCATATAACAAATTAGCGGTGTTTATATCACGCTTTTAGTGGGACAAAAACGTTCAAGATCAGAGCAATAAATGTTACGAGATCATTACCGTAGTACGCGTAGTCATGGGAGTGTCAGTCCCGACGCGCGCCGTAGCTGCCGTAGCATGGGTGAAAATCATCACACTCACGATACGCTCTCGCGGGTCCCTTTTGCTCCATCGGCAGGTTTAATTTTCTCTGTGCAATCAATCAACCATTCGTATAACATCTAACTTTGGCTCTATTGAAATGCATAACGTGCTTAGGTCCAAAAATCTACCGTAAACTATCCTATTTTGCCGCTAACGTTAGCCCGAAAACAAAATGGTGGACATGAATTTCGCTTCGGCCAGCTGATGTGCGTGACGTCATGGGATTGGCCTGTACGGCTATTGCATGTTTCTTGCGTGTGTGGCAGTGGCAGTGCAGTATACGACTTGACTGTGGAAAAGTTAAATACTACGTTGTACATTGATCGGCCGTTGATAAAATAGCAATCTTTTTGGGGGCAATTTTCCAGCGCTCCAACCAAACGACTATTTCATTATCGTCTTGGAATTATTTTCTGTGAACATGGTATAATGTATCTATACATGTAAAATGCCAATTTTTGTATTGAATAGATGTGAAACAGAATTTTTCAGCCTGAAACGGAATTTTTCAGCCTGAAACGGAATTTAGGATTTTTGAAAACGGAATTTGCACTTTTCTGAAATGGAAAATCATTGGCCGTATTGTTGCAATTGAAGATATTGATGCTTTTCTTCATAAAGTTACATTCCCTGATGCAAGATGTTAACAAATTTTGCTGAAAGTTGAATTAGAATATGTAGCCAAATTGACATCCTCCACAGAGCGGCACTTAAAGATTCCCCCCCCCCCCCCGTACATTTTAGGTTTCACGAACTGACATTGACCTTAATTTTACTAATTAAAATGGCTTTCAATGAAATTTTTGTGTAAGCCCAGAAGTAAACGGAAGGATCAAATTCATGTGAACCTTTCAAACTGTATTTCTGCTTTCTGTAATGCCACATCATGCTTGGGTGTCAGTTTGTGTAAACGAAAATCTTCCAATTTTGCATCATTGTCTGAAGTGCACGCGCAGTACTGGTTGTAAGTTCCTGAAATTGTTGGTTACACGGTTTTCATGTGGTGCCGATGTCGAATTGTATTGCATGTACACATGCAAACACATCAGTAACAATTTAAAATTGTATGTCCAAATTCAAAAAAGGGAGTCCAAGCGATGTCCCAATGTTGATTTTATTCTACAGTTATGTTTTTTTAAAATTCCTTCATTGCTCTTAACTATCACGATACCAGTCCTGGCCTCCGCCAGCACCTAGTCTGAGGATCAGAAGTTCACGTGTGCAGAGCCACACTAGACACATCTGAAAGATCCGTGCATGTAAATGTTATTTGACCAGGCGCACCAGCCAATCGGAGCCAGCTTTAATATGAAATAGTTGTGATGTCATATAGAGCAGAAATCCGGCAAAAGCTGTAGATTCGTCAATATGTGCCTTGTTTGGGTCATACAACATTGGATTAATGAAGGCATGATAGAAGGCATACCCTGAAGGGTCAGAATCTGGAGGTAAAAATGCAGTGTTGCAAGGACGCATACAAAAAGGAAAAATTAAAAAATTCAAAAAAATAATACATATAAAAAACAAATCAGTTAGGTTTTTGGGAAAAAAATGTCCTGGAGTTACATTGTATATCCCTTTAACCCTAACCTCCCCAAGTTCTCCAAAATCCTTTTTGCAAACTGGAGGCTTTTGCAGGATTGAGGCTACAAATGTAAAAGTGTGGCTGATTTTGGAGGATGTACTATGTCAAGGTCTTGGGCCGGACCTTATATTGTTTATTTTCTGTCGTGCATATATTTAGGCCTAGATTATACTTAAAGTCCTCTGCACTGCTCCAGGATGTCACTGGTTCTGCCTCACATACATGTATTGATAGTGATTGCTGGAGGATTTTGCATTATTGAGACATTTGTGGGATTGAGGCTGTATGTAATTTTTACATGGTGGCAATTACAAAAATGCAGGGGAGTTAGGGTTAAATGATTTTTTTCAGTTTATCTAAATATGTTGCTACGGTACTTACCGTACCGGTAGTTAGTAACTACAGTTTGCTTGCTACATATAAATATATTAGTTCATGAGGCATCAGTGTAGTAGAATGGAGCATATTTTAAGGTATTATGTTACCTTCAGCTGAGTAAGTGTTTGTCAGCTTGTCCTATCTAATTACATCCCATGTCAATTGTTACCGACCCAAAACTCCATTGCTATTGGATATGCTTCTTTTTAAGATGCAGATGTACATGTGCATGCACAGCCATTAGAATTATTCGAACATAAGGTTTCTTTATATACTGGCATAGAATTGTCACTGTAAGTGTGATTCATGAAAACGTACGGTTAAAATCATGGCACTTCATTTATATTGTATTGCATATAAACAGATAAAAGTAATCTTTAGGCCTAAATATTTCTATATCAATTTCAAATGAACTTTCAAATTTCAAATAAAGTTTCAAATTCTTTCAAATTGGCATAGAGTACCGAAGTGTGACGTCATTTGGAACCAGAAAGCGTAGAGGAAACGAATGAAGTACGCGCGTGTTGGTTCACAGGCTGCATCACTTGCTAATGTCCTTTACAGTTTGTGCCTGTGATGTATGTGTATTCACTATAAAATGATGCCATTTACTGAACAAAATAAGACGGCAAATGATTTTGTTTTGTTATTGGAAGACACCCATACATGTACATGTTGTATGTACATGTATGTGTTCATGTGAAGTGAATAATAAACCCTGATTTGGACATGTACATGTACATTGTACATTATGACAAAAGAAGTATGACTCTGCAGCAACCCCAAATCTTCTTTTGACTTTCAACTTAATAATAAGCCAGTTTGGTATTTCAACTGCACATGTGCACAATGATATGGGTCACAGGTAATTCGGGATAATCGAACATTTTGAAGGTGCATGAACGCGGGTGCATGACACTTGTGTGTAAATTACCAGCAGAATGGGCGTGAGCGTGACATCACATTTATAACATAAAATCAGCAATGTTATCCCGAATGACCTTGGGTCATTGAAATACCGAATTGGCTTATAAGAGGGAAAAAAGGATATTTATATGAACATGAACATTGTACATAACGTGACTTATTTAAACAGTATTTTCTGTTACATTAGGCCAAACAAAAAAAAGTATCCGGTTTCTGGTATGCGCGCGTCGCCGTAGCCATGCGCGTCTGCAAAATGAAAAAGTTTTTTTTTCAATGAAAGATGATGTCTCAAAACCGCCAAACTCACTGGTTTGACTGGAATCCTGCTGCTGCACAATTTTAATGTGTTTTTAGATGGGGTTACGATCAAGAATAAGCTTTATTGTGGCCTCTCTGGACTCCCATATACATGTATTTGCACCAAGTTTAGTCGGGCACAATTTGCAGTCATCAGCTGACATTTGAAGAAAAAAAAATGGTAAAAAAAAAAAAAGGCCGCGTCGCCGCACCACTTTTTGGGCAGGCTACATACCAGAAACCGGAGACTTTTTTTTTGGCCTTAGCTGTGTTAAATATAGCACGGTTGCTGAATGCTCTAAAATAAGAATTTGTATAGCTGTTTTGACTTCTGTGGATCGTTCTGAAAATATGTTTATTTTTAAAGCCTAAAAGGCAGTAGACTTGGAAGTTATGCACACAAGCTGTGTGCACTATAATCTATTTCAGTATGGTTCCCAACATGCCCAAGGGGGCATATCACAGGATATCAGTTATGCCTCACCATATGGTACTTAACAAACTTGCCAGCAACTTCAATATTCGTGGATCGACATGGACCTGGATAAAGTCCTTCCTAATAGGTCGTCAACAACGAGTTGCGTATCGGGGATGCTTCTCCGAGTGGGCACCAGTTACTTCAGGTGTTCCTCAGGGCAGTGTCCTTGGCCCCCTCCTGTTTAATTTGTTTATTAATGACATTTCTCATGACTTATCCACAAACTGTGCACTCTTTGCGGATGATACACTCCTCTATCAGCCAATTCTCTCACCCCAAGATGAACTCGCCCTCCAGTTGGACCTGACTGCACTTGAACAATGGAGTAATCTCAATGGTATGCAGCTGAATATCAAGAAAACCAAGGTCATGCACATATCCAGATCCCGGAAACCAGCAGTTCTTCCAAGTTACATTCTTCACGGACAATCGCTCAATGTTACACCTACATTCAAATATCTTGGGGTAATCATCAACGATTCACTGAACTGGAACGATCACGTCGATGCCACTGTCTCAAAGGCCAATAAGACATTAGGCTTTATCTGGCATATTGCGGGTGGTGCTTCGACCAAGGCCTTGACATCCCTCTATCGTTCACTTGTTTTGCCCGTACTGGAATACGGGTTGCCAGCTTGGTCCCCATACACAGCATCCAATGCAGCCAAACTTGAGAGAGTGCAGAGAAGGGCAAGTAGAATGTGCCTCAAACAGCCCAAAGGTGCAATGTCATATGAGGACAGATTGCATGCTTTGAATTGGATGACTCTAGATACACGTAGACAGAAGCACATAGTTTCCTTCACAGTTAAAGTCCTGTTTAACTTAGTTGACTGCCAATCAGTGAAGGCCAACACAGTAGTGAACACTCGTCACCAGGATTGTCTCACATTTAGTCACCACTATGCTAGAACTCAAACCCTGAAAAACACACCTAGTCATGT